CAATTTGATTGACTGATTTGTTTTTTATGGATTATGAACCTTTTGTAGGTTATTTAAAGCCAGAAAATATTTTTAGATTGTAAAACTTTTTTTTTTGAGATAATAATAGTTTAGCAATGCAAGTCTTACTAATTAACCCATAGCTTGGAGGAGAAGAAGTGGATTCATGCCTTTCCCAAAGTTATTTGCATGTAAGTGAATATAACAAAGCCTACAGGAATTGGAACTTAGCTCTCCAATTAACAATTCCATGCCATTATCCAATACACCACCCACACATCTAGGCTTAGAGCACCTGGTCTTCCCAAGTAGTCACTCATCTAGATAGTCAACACTGCTTAACTTCAGTGAATGTACGGCAACTAGTGTTTCAACATGATGTGGCTGTAAGCCATAGACTGTCAAGGAGCTCATATTAACAAGTAAAATAGTAAGATAATAATTTAATCAGGCTTATGGAATATTTTGGTAATCAAATATATATTTCTATAGCTAATATCTTTTGGATTTATTCATGAATAAAAATCTTTGTTGCACTTCATTTGGATGATCAAACCTAACAAGTATTTTAAATAAGGACACTTATAAGCTAAAACCAAAAGGATATATTACTCAAATAACTAAGTATATCTTTAAAATTTTAGCAATATCAGTTGGTTAATACGAATTTTATTGTGAAACACTGGCTGACATAATAAAATCTAATATTAGTGTACAATATAGTGAATTCTATCATGTAAAGTTTTTGTTTTTCCTGAATATTAACATCTAATAATTTAAAATAAAAACTAGTTTTAATGCATGGTTATTTTATAAATACTAAAATACAGTTTTTTAATGATGTATTTTTTTATTAAAAACTGGTTAAAAGCATTTGTTATTTTAAAAAAAAATTGTTTAACATCCAACAGGAATTTTTACTAACTTTGCAGAAAAGGATTTGACTGATCAACCAAACAAACAGCCATAAAACTATTATGCAATGCATTATTAATATAATGATTGCTATCTACATATTTTATTTGCATTGTTTTCTTATATGTAATACCTAGTATTTGTCATAAGAACAGACATTTTACTTCTAACTGCTTTGTTTTTGCCAATTAGAAAGAACATTACACAAAAAGAAGTAAATTTTATTGCAATCAAAATAACAAGGCATTTATTTAGTCATGATTTGTTGAATTCTAAATTTCTGAAAAATGTTTTTTTTTAAATAGAACCAAATTGTTAAATAAAAAAAATCCTAACCTTCTAAAATCTTGTTTAGAATCTACCAAAAAGATTGGAAAGTCAAATTCCTATTACTATTTAGTCGAGTCGATAAACTAGCCATCCAAACAAAAATGAGGCAATAAAAAAACAGGTTTTGTATTAGTTTAAATACTCATGAAAGTATGCTTGTAAGTATTTATTTACTTTCATTGAGACTTTTACCAAAATATGACACATAGTCAATATTGGTAAGAAAGTTGGTGGTTTTCTCTATCTCTAACAAAAAAAAAAATGAACTATTAACCTATAGAAAACAATTCTTTAGAAATATGAATGTAAATTTGAATTATTTTGTTTATAAATGAAGGATGAAGAAAAGGAAAGGAGAACAATACTATATCAAGTACATTACATCATCGATTAAATATGGTGAAAGCTGTGTTAGGTTTCTCTGTTGATGATGTAATGGAGGTATCTGCTTCATAAAAAGCATAATGGATAACAGAAAGTAGAAACAAATCCACTTTATGCCTGCAGTAGTAAGGGGTTTTCAAATGACTAAATTATTATCAAGAAGCACTGTTCTAAATTGTATAGAAATTATTTGAAAAAAAAATATTGTGCACTATGAATTGGTCACTCAAAAGTCTGGATTTAAATCCTATTGAATAGGTGTGGGCATAGATCGATTTAAAAGTTACTGAGAGATGTAAGTACATCTGAAGAGGTATTATGACAACAAAACTAAATTCTATAGCACATCATTGAAAAACAAATTTTGCTAAAACATACTGAAACTATGCCTTGAGTATTTAGTCAGATTCTAAAGGTGACCATATTAGTCATTAAATGTTTAGATATTTTTTCATTGTTCAATTATTTTCACCTTGTTATGCTGATTGCAATAATATGTTGTCTTTTAACCCTTAAAACCAATCAATATACATAAAAATTTATGTATGTCTAAATACTTACAATACATACTTCTTATAGCTTAGTACTCAAGTATTTCAATGAGCACAAAATCTGTTTTTTTTACATTGCCTGATATTGCAAGGATCACTGATAATTTTGAAAGGTAAGATGGTTCAAATGTCTTCCAATATCAAGGTGAGCCCAGTTTTCAAACACTTTAATTGATGTTAAAAGGGTAGAAATATTGTTTGTTTTTTTTATTTACTAATTTTATTAAACATTTTTCAGAAATTTATAATTCAGACATGATTAAATGTATGCTTTGTTATGTTGAGGGCAATAAAATTTGCTTTTTCTTGTATAACGATCTTATTTTTAACTTTCAAATTCAAGCAATGAGAAACAAAATTCATGTTTGTTCAAATACTTCTGACTCACACACTCTATGTATGAAAGGTTGCTGAAAAGTCCTCAGCCCAACCCTCTTCCTTAAAATCAGATTTCAATAATTTGATATCAGAAATGGTGGGAAGATTAAAGAAACTTAAGAAATGATGCGTCAAGTGGACAGAACTTGAAGTGAATATGTGGAACAGCCTATACATGACTCTAGGTTATCCTTTTAAGGTTAGCTAAAAACTTTTCAACACCTCTTTGTAAAAGTACATACACACATGCATATGAGGTGCATCAAAAAAGAAACAGAACTGAAGTCACAAAAAATTTATGTCAAATCCAAACTACAAGTTTTCCCCTTTAAAATTATCTCCCTCAAGTCTAATGCATTTTTCCATCCTTTTCTGCCACACCTCCATGCAACCCTGGTGGGATTCTTTGCAGCTATGTTGTCACAGCCTTCTTGATGGTTTCCATGTCTGGAAAATGGGTCACCTTGATGAACATTACTATGCTGCAGCAAGGTCCCTACTCATATCTAACCTGGCTCTGTGTGATTTTTTTCTCTTTCTCCAAGCTCAAGGGGGTCATTAAGGGAACCCATTTTCTGGATGTGGGAGCCATCAACATGGCTGTGACAACAGAACTCAGGAGAATCCTTCTAGGAATGCATGGAGGTTTGGCAGAGAAGGATGAGAAAGTGTTAGATTTGAGAGGGATCATTTTGAAGGGGAAAACTTGTAGTTTGTATATGACAAATTTTTTGTGACTTCAGTCTGGCTTCTTTTCTAACACACCTCATATATGAATGTATGTATGTATGTATTTTTTTTTTTACTACAAATGTTATTTGGCAGATACTCTTGTTTGAGTAGACACTGTGTGTGTGTGTGTCTCTATATGTTTAAAATTATATAGTTTAAAATTTGCTATATTTATGAGGTAAGAGTGGTCATTATCAGAAATAGAGCAGTGTGGACATAGTAAGCAACACTCACTGCATGGTAACTACCAGTTTCAACATGATAAAGTCTGTCTAATTTTTTATTTAGTTTTTTCCAACTTCTGATGAAATTGAATTAAAAATGTTAAACTTTCCAAAGTTTTAATCCTGACATAAAACAAGTTAGTCAGAAATTGGAAAAACTAAAACAAAAGTTTGACAAGACAAACCATGTCAGTGTTGTTCAATAGAACTTGTTTGAAAGAATTCTTGCTGTTACATATATAGGATTAATACAAATATAAAATTTTTCACTTAGCTGATTGATGTAAAATATTCAGCACCTCAACTCAAAATATTCAGCAACTTTCATAGACTAACTCTTTTGTATTTGTACAGTCCACTCATCAGGAGGTTTCAGCAATTGACTGCTGTTTTACTAAATTTTTTTTATTTTTTACTAAATTTGATTTAATTTATGTGTTATTTGGGAGCTCTTATTATTGGTGTTAGGTTGATATTTTTTTTGTGTGTGTGTGTGTGTGCATGTGTTTGTATACACACACTGCTACAAGTATTATTAAAGGTCAATGAAGGTCCTTTATTAAGGGCTTTTTATTAACTTTTCTTCCTTTATGACAAGTTAAAGGATTAAAGCTGTCTACATATTGTCCAAATTCTGAATGCATTCAGTTTTCTTAAGCCGTTATGAAAGATTTTGTCTGTGGATTTATAATAATACATGTTGTGCTTCTTGATAGATTTTAAAATATTTCATATCACACATCTTGATACCTTTTGTTTGTTTTGCCATATATTGCATCTTCACAATTATGTCAGAAACATTCATAAAAATCCTTAAACTTTTGTTGGAATTTAATAAACTTTGTAACAATAAGAAATTTCTGCACAAATACTCTTTCCCCCTCACATATTTTACTCTGAACTGGAATAATATCTAATTTATCTAATGAAATGCTACACTACACAAATAAAAAATAACTTTTTCAAACAAAAGATATAGCTTGTCTCATTTAAACTATGAAATTATTATAAACCTATAACAGATGTGGCACAAACTGTTTCCACCTAAGAGTTATCATATTTGTTTTACAACTTAAACTTGTAGATGAATTTGCTTGCATATTGCTACCTCATTTCTTTTTAATTTAAAATTTTATTAGTAAAGTAAATTTATTACGAAATTTATTATAAGATTTATTTTGAAGGTTTCTAGAATTAAAAAATTTTATATACATTTTCATTACTAACACTTATGCCCTACAGAATTGCAAATGACCCTAGATTGAGAACCAATGCATGACAAAAACATACATCTTAAGTTGAGATAAAAACAAGTGTAAATCTAATTGTTACTCATGGAAATATGAATAGTAGTAAAATAAACAGGATGCAATGTTATGGTAATTTGCAATTTTTTTTTTAAAATTTGAAAAAGGAAAGTATGAAAAAGCAAAAAGAAAATGAATATATGAGATGGCAACCATAACAGCATTTCTGTTTAACTTACTTTGACTTTAAAGCTGCTGGCTTGAGATAGTCATCAAAGGAAAGTGTTAACACATCAGGCCTGTCTTCCTTTCTGTATTGTAAACATTTCCTAATAAATGACTGAAACAAAAAAAAAAAAAAATTTGTTAGTTAAATCATCAATATACTAAAAATCAATTAGAACATTTTCCAGCTATCACTTTGAGGGATATAATATATATATATAAATAAGGGAGAGATTATAGGGGTCCCAGTGAAAGAAGTGTATATATTTTAAAGAGAAAAGAGAAGACACAAACGTTTTTGATTATGATGTGGACTGTTTTTTGAATATATATCATGCTTTATTTTTTATGCACATATTTTGGGTTTTGTCACCTTCATTAGACAAAGAATGGTTATTTCCATGGATTACTTAAAGGAATTGATTTTTTCCTATGTTTTCTCATGTTTAACCATTATCTTTTGTGTGTAGCAGTAATCCAAATTTTCTTGGACTTGTGGAGAAAATCTTCTGCTTAAGGGTTAATAAAACAATTAGCATTGATCAGAGAAAGGAGGAAGGAAGGAGGTCTTTGTTCTTATCTTTTTATGACCTCTGTATCTTTTTAAACCAATCTCTATTTTTGTGTACTGTGTGTATATGTTTTTACTAGTATGTGTATACATATTCCTTCTCCATACATTTATATTGTTTTATTATAAGGAAATAATATATATATATATATATATATATATATATATACATACATACACACACATGCATGATTGCATGCATACATACACACACACACACACACACATATATTGTGTCTACTACTTATTTTTATACTGATCCTTTCCAGTTGTCTAATCAGTTTCTTGATGTTAAGATGAAATTCATCAGGGAAGATGCTATAGTTTTTTTTTTTTGTTTTTTTTTTAAGCCAAATACTTTCATCCTTTTCTAAGATCATCTTGAAGGATAAATTACAAGGACAAATTTATTGTAACTGTGATAAAATCTGCATTCTGTTGTGATAATGATTTTTAAAAAAACATTCATAAAAAATTTTGTTAAGTGTTGGTTGGTTGATTTTGATATAGAGGGCCTAGAGAATTTGAAATTTTTGTTTATTATTTTCATGGTGTAGTATATTGATGTTGTCAACAAGTACTTTCCTGTATTGTGAAGATGGACAGAAATTTGTCTTTAAATGTTGTGCAATAGAACTTGTATCTGACAAATGAAGTGTAAGATGCCATGTTGCGATCAAGCCAACATACATACTTACTAATATGTACTTAAGCAACAACAAATTAAAGTGTATATAACATTTAATTCTATTTCACATTTCTACCAATTTTCAGTCAGCTCCAACACTTGTTTTGCAAAAGATTCCATAACTACAACGAATAAATTTAAAATTCTAAAACAACTATATTCAGTGCACATTCATGCATGCTTTTTAAAAATCACTATCATAACGAATACAGATTTTGTCATAATTACAATAAGTTTGTCTTTGTAATTTGCCTCTGAAGATGATCTTAGAAAAGATTGAAAGTACTTGAGCTAAAAAAACTATGGCACCTCCCTTGATGGATTTTCATCTCAACATCAAGAAACTGATTAGACAGCTGGAAAGGATCAGTATAAAAATGAATTAGTGAAATTATGTCTTTCAGGAAATATGTTCAAACATTACCTGTTCTTAAAATAAATACAAACAATATTCATTATATATATTTCTGAAAATTAAATCAAATGAAAATTTTTCTCCTGCAAAAAAAATAATAATTTTGAAAAACCTTGATGACCTTCTTAAATGGAAATTTTCCTTTGGATAAATAAAAAAAAATATTGGTTCAATTAAATTACTTTTTTTTCAAATTTTTTCAATGCTTGACTCATTTCAGCATTTTCTGGGGTCTTTTGAATCCAAAAAAAAAAAAAAAAAAAAAAAGACTGCCTAAAGATTGCTAGAAATGAACTGGATTATATATATATATATATATATATATATATATATATATATATATATATATATATATATTTGTGTGTGTGTGAAAAAATGTGTGCATATAAATATAAATAAATATATATATATAATTATTTATATATTATATGACTTTAGGTTTTTATAAAGCTCTCTCTATATATATATATATATATATATATATATATATATATATAAATAAAAGTTGTAGTCTCTGTATGTCTATTTGTTATTGAACTCCTCCTACATTTTTGGAGACAAACCTCCATAACCATATATATTCTGAAACTACATTACCCAGGGCACTTGGATGAGTATATTTCATTTTGATCAAAGGGGGTCCCCAGGAGGCATAAACCCCCCCACAAAATTTTTTTTCCTTTGATTTAAATTAAATTTAAATTTGAACAAGTAAATGTCTCCTATCCAAAATATAGGAGAAAGCCAGAAGATGGAGGTCACATTGGCAAGATCAAAATGAGACAATATGCATGTCAAGTTGAGCAAGAAATCACCAATCACCCTTACAATACATATTTGTTGCAACAATACAACTGTCATATCAATGTTGAAATCTGCTCAACATTGTTCATTCAATCAAGTATTGCATCAAATACATATCAAAGGGGTCAGATCAAGCTGTTTTTGCACAAAGCCCCCACTGAAAGTTTTTTTGCCCCTTTGATTTAAATTAAATTTAAATTTGAACAAAGGAATGACTCCTATCCAAAATACGGAAGGAGAAAGCCAGAAGATGGAGGTCATATCAGCAAGATCATATTAATATTGAAATGCACCATTTTACTCCACAAATTATAACAATGATTTAAGATTTAAAATCAACCATTTTCTTACAAAAAATGTGTGACACACAGCATGGCACAGATAATTTAGTTGGTGTGAAATAAAAGTATATATATGAGCAAATCTTGGCTCAACCAAGAAATGACTCCAAATTAAATTCTGATGTTGTTTGGTCCTTTAATTAGATTTTGAGGAGAGGGTCAGACCAAAAACTTTTCAACACCCTTGTATATGTGTGTGTGTGTGCGTGTGTGTTTAATAAAGTATTTTGTAATCCATTCTTGTCTTTTAGAAAAGTAGTTATATAAAATGAATACAACTAGATTGGAATGAATGTGACTAAGGTTGGTACATGTCATTGATACAATTAAGGTTTTATAACACAGTTATTGAAGATTCACAATTATATATAAAGTTATTTCTACAAATGTTAAATCAATCATACCATAAATGCTTACTTTCACATAAAAAAGGTATGCATGCCTGGCTATTTAAATTTTGATTTTTCTCTAACCTACCCAGTGTTATTCCAGACACCCTGTTTATTTTTTTCCAATCTGTATGTTTATTCCAACTTCCCCCAACACTTCTGTTCTGAAAGTAAATTTTGAATACATTTTCTAACCTTTCTAATTCAATTTTTCTTTACTTGCCTGTAATATAAATATACTTTTGCTTACCTTAGCTTCACTACTAACAGGTGGTCGTGAAGGGAATTCCACATCTGTAGCTTTCAATATTGTGTTTTCTTCAAGAATGGCTGCTTGAGACAAGTTGTGCCCAAAAGGCTGTAATAAATTAAGTTTCATTTTTTTTAGTGAAGGCACATTAAGAGAGAGAAAAAAATGAATTCTTTAAAGTTAAGATTCACATTTTTGGTTACATGTTATAGAAAACTAAAATACTTAATTGTATTAATATTCAAATCTCACTAAAACAACAAATATTTTAATATAATTGGTATTGATTAAACAGATAAAAGATTAAAGTAATTACACTTTTAATAATACTAAAATGCTAGGCTATCTGAGTTTAATTGCACATATAAGTTTATAATTAACAACATAATTATAAAACTAATGACATTAATATTATTTATAAGCTCAGAATTTAACTGGTTAAAATAGAAATATGAATAATATAAATAATTGAAACAAATGAGCCAAGTGATTAAGTTGCCCACTGCTTACTTAATGGCAATAGTAATAATATGAGACTATTTGACTTATCAACCCTTTGTGAGTTACTTAATCTAAAACATATTTTTTGGATTGTAAGAATAATTTTTTTTTTTTTTTTTTTTTTTAAACGAATATTGCATCAATGAATATTTTTTCAATAATTTTTTGAAGATAATTATTTTTCCAGTTACAAGTCTTACTATTTAACCCAGAACTGGGTCGAGGAGAGTTGAATTCATACCTTTGCCAAGAGTATTTACATGTAAGTGAATGTAATGCACTCAACTGGAATTCGAACTCAGCTCTCTGGTTTCTCATTCCAAACCACCATTCATTACACCTTACACCACCTACACAACTGAGATGCTATCTGAAGAGTTTCCATAAATATATATTAACAAAGAATGAAAAAATAGTGAAAGCTTATTTATGGATCATTTTTGCCTATATTTTAGCAATAATATGTGTTGCAACATGCAAAAGTTTAATTAGAAAAAGTATATTTGTTAACTGTTCATTATTATTTATTTTTTATACAAGTTAACAAGAGAAAAGCAAAAGTTAAAGAATTCTAAAATGATCCTGAAATCAGATCGTCATTTTACCTTTTTACCATATAGGCACTGGTAAAATATCACACCTACAGACCAGACATCGACTCGGGAAGAAATTTTTGGAGGAGTTTTGCCAACCACAAAACATTCTGGTGGCAAATACCTGCAAGATAAATAAAAGAAATAATATTAATTGTATTATAATGCTTTGTTGTTAAAGTTTTACATTTTTAGCATCTTCAGTAATAAAATGCAGAAATTAGCACAAGCATGTGTAGGCTAAGATTAGAACAATGGGTTTCTACTGAGGCTATCACCCCTAGGAAGTAGGTATTAGTTACAGCAGTCTGTAGAAGACAAGAAATAAAATGCCAAAAGGAGATATCATTTGATGCTTAACAGGCAGAGTAGTAAAAATTTTAACATCTTTTGGTACTGAATGTGTTAATACATAATATAACTATTATGAATATATTAATATATAAATGGCAACTTGAATATAACTCTTTTATTGATAGGAAAACAAATCTTTAATCCATATCATTATAGTGTCAGTTTAACCTGATGCCTTATTGTTTACATATATAATCTATAATTATAAACAATAATTTTGAAAAGTGAAAATTTCACTCAAATATGTTGAAAAATGCCCAAGTTTCCATCTGAAATTTAATTTTAAGTGAAATGATCACAACATAGAGACAAAAGAAAATTCTAATGTCAAGAAGATATCGATTAAACAACACTTCTTAGCTTATCAGAAATTTTTTACCAATCAAATGTTAATAAAAATAAGTTATCCAAATTCTACTTATTCATTAATTGAACTTTTAGACAACTTTTTCTTTTGTTATTCTAAACAGAAATCAAGAGTAATCTGTAAAAGAATTATCAGTTATTCTGAATAACAGAATCAAGTTTCACATAAAAAATCATCTTATAAAGATGTTCCATGTTTTAGTTCATAGCTTCATATAGAAATGTCATATTCTATCAGTTTGAAAGTTCCATTTTGATATATTTTCAAAGATATGATGATTTTCCTTGATACTAGAAACTAAAAATAGATAATTCCTATGTTTAATATTGGATGAAATTTTGAAATCACTTCATAAGTAATCAAAGAGGTTTTTATGTAACATTTGATTTCATCTCCTTTTCTTTTTCTATAGGAATGCTGTAGTTTCTGAACTGTGAACTAAGCTACTGAAATTGATTTTACTTATTAAATATTGTTTTAATACTCATATATACACACATGGAAATTTATCACAATTTAACACAATTTTAGTAAGAAAACACATAACACAAGTAGCAAGCAAATATACATAAGCTATCCTCTTTTAAGAATATATTGGTCAATATTTTGTTTTGTTGCTTAATTTTTCAGTTACAAAAGTAAACACACAACTGCTGTTTACATCATTGATCTGCACATACTTGTTCTTTTTACTATATATTATCATCTGTGTTATTCTCAACATTTTAGTTGGTCATCTCTTCAGAATACAATTGTCACTGATCCTTTTTATATTTTTTTGATCATTTAAATTACAAAAACACCCCCCAAAAATGTATTAGTTGGGTTGTTTCTCTGAAGCCCAGTATAACAGAGCTGAAATATTTTTAGATACTAAGTTGGTAGACTAGTTTTAAAGTGTAATAATTTGAGCTTTATTAAAAATTAGAGTAAGTAGCTAAGACTGTTGGCGCTGAGATTCAATTTGTAGTCTATGAATACAAAATTTCCAGGTTATATTTTTTCTTAGGCCAATAAAAAGAAAGAAAAAAGTGACAATAAAGAACGATAACTCACCAATAAGTACCAGCACCTTGCGACGTTAGGTCCATGCCTGCATCAGAATAATTCTCATCATCCATGATCTTGCTAAGACCAAAGTCTGTAATTTTAATCTCTCCACTCACTGACCCACTACCTAGTAAAATATTACCTGTAAAAAAAACCAAAAAAATCAACAAAGTTTAAAAAAGACAAAATCAAACCTATTCAACATACATCTAAAATTCTGAGATGGTCAGCAGATTCTGCAGTTTTCTTTTACAAACATTAAGGAAAATAAGAATTTAAAGAATAAATAAAACCAAATAAATGCTGGCAACTTTTGTAGGAAAAAGAATTCCTGATGATTTATCATTTGTATTCAAACTTCATTTTAGTTAAGTATAGACCAGAGGTGGCTAAATTTACTTAATGTAAAAGCCATATACGATAAAGTTCAGGTATTTGAGAACTGCAAAACATGAACAAAAATTTACACATACAGATTTTTTACATAAACATTGTTATAAAATTTTTATAGAAATATTAAGAAATGCATGTATACAATAATATTTATTCATGTATGCAGTTTTTTTAAACTGTTAATCACTATTGGTTTCAGTAATCACAAAGTACATACACACACACACACACACACACACACACACACACATGCCAAATGTTTTCAAAATCTTGACTGACCATTGTTTCAAGGAGCTAAGCCAACATATTTCCACGAGCCGCATATGCATATTAAATGTTAAAAAGCCGCATTGTATTGATCTCTAAATGTATTATTTCATTTTATGTCCAAGTCTGTTGCCAAAATTGTGTTTAACAATACACAACTATACCAATCTTTCCAAAGGTCTATTTCCATGTTGTCCCCTAAGATAAAAATATGTATGCAAACTATTCATCCCAGAAAAAGAATATTAAAAACTCAGTGAGAACTAAGAGTTTGGTATTGACAGGATTTTTCATGTATTTTCATTTTTTGACTAATTATACTAATACAGCTTATATTAAACTGCATATTAAAATGTTTTTAATTTTGCATTTATATGTTTTCTTCATATTAACTTACTCATTTATTTTATTTTCAATGTGCTTTTTTTTAAATCAAGCAATAACAAATCTATCCTTATAAAAATACAAATGAGTCATCATTGTTATTTTCTTTTATTTCATTCTGAGATCAATATTTTTCTATGTCAACTTGCAATAAAAAAGAAATCTTGCAAAAAAGTGAGAATTTTTTACTGTTTTCTTTTTATATGAAGAAAATGAACTAGAGCAGTGTTTTTCAACCTTTTTTTTCCTTGTGGCCCCTATTTTTGGTGTCAAAAAATTTCAGGCTCACAAAGAGAAATTCCATTTAACAGGAAATACATTTTATTTACAAAAACAAAAACAAAATGTAATAAAAAATATAAATCCTGACTAATGACTCCACTGCTCCTGGTGTCTCCAGGCTCATTTAAAATATTTTTCAAGTCAACTTTTGGGTCCACTGGACTAGAGGAAGTTTTTTTTATCTATCAAAACACATAAGCATTTATGTAGATAATAAGTTAAAAAAAAAAGAAAAAAACAGTGAATTTTCTGGCATATTAAGCTTTCAGCTGGAAATATTTAAAGTACTATTTACCTGAGATTTATTACCAATATACACAAATTTTCTTTTGAATAACATTTTATATGGCATGAAATGGAAAAGAAATCCTTGAAAATAATTATTGAAATATTTTATTAACTCACCAGGTTTTAAGTCATAATGTATCACAGGAGGCTTAATTTCATTTAGATATTTGAGAGCACTAACTGTCTGACAGATAATAGAGCGTGCCTCCTTCTCTGGGATGCACTTGTTCTGCTTGAGGTAGAAATCCAAGTCGTTGCCATCACAGTATTCTAACACAGTACAGAAGCTGTAAGAAAAAAAAAAAATATATATATATATATATATGTAAAAAAACATCAAAAATGTTAATATTACATTAATAAATGAATATCTAAATAAATAATCCACAATTATAATTAAAAAAAAAAATGAAATAAGCATAAAGGGAGGTAACTCAATGATTTAATCTTAAAATTTACAAAATTCTAAAATAATTTCCATATCTTATATGCAAAAACCAAAAGACAAGTCAAGGAAAACTAATTAAGTACAAAATAAATCAGAATTGTTATTTTAATTTATCATCTTTTTAGATGATTTTTTACTAAACTGAAAGAAGTTTCAAGTTTCAGCTAATGATTTTCAGTTTTTAAGTTATTTACTCAGTACCTCTGTAAGAAATTTCAGATTTAAGTATCATGTGAATAGATATCATTTATCAGCAATCTGGAATTATCTAAGACATTAATAACCACTGTGCTTGCATGTATGTATTTATCTGTAAAATCATTGTTAAATGAAAGCTTTCTCACAAAATTTCTAAATGGTTACCGTGGCCAGACATTATGCCTATGGAGAATACTGGATATTGAACATTAAGCATGAAATATTACAAATTGATACAGAAGGTTTTATTTTTTGATTATACTGAGCATACCTATGTGGGGAAAATATTATCTCCCAATAATATCTCTGATCCTATTTACCCACCACTCAAATGGTCAGTATTCTCTAGCATTTGACAATAATTCCCATGAACTATTAATTATGCAGAGTCCTGTTACAAGAATGTTTACCAAAGAATGGGTTAAAGCATACTAATTTAGCCTATTTTATAAACAAATTATTTAATGTTGAGGAAGGAGATAGGTAATATGAGGATTGTATACCTGGCCTAAGAAAGATTTTGTAAACTTATTCAAATAATAAAATTCTTTAATTACTTAGACATTGATTCATTTCTTAATTTATTGATGAAATTAATAAAATTTAAATTTGAATAAAATATTCAAATAATAATTATTTGGTTTATTAATTTATAGATATGTTAAAATATAATAATTCTTAATTGCAATACCAATTAGTGAAAGTATTTGCTTAGCTTGAGGTATGGTTCCCATAGGCAAACTGTTTGGATACCAAGGTTACTATGTCCACAGGACAATATAGATAGGTTAAGTTAGTATGCTAGTGGATTAAAACATTAGTTTGTGAATTTGGTGACATAGTAATTGTATTGTGAGTTCAGTGCTGGGTCAGGCAATGTGTACTTGGACTCAAACAGTAACTAAGCAGTACTAAAAATAAGAATGAATATCCCTATACATGGAAAGTGGAATGAGAACAGTCTTCTCCCATATATTAAATAAAGGGTTTAGTTGGAAATTCACTGTATCCCTGTTATACAGATTGACATACAACACAAGTTGACCAAGTTGTTGTGATAACAACAACAAAGATGAAGACAATAGTCCATGTGCAAATAGGGTACCAAAGTTACTATGTCCACAGGACAATAGCCTAGAGGATTAAAGCATTGATTTGTGAATTTGGTCACATAGTAATTGTATTGTAAGTCCAATCCTGGGCCAGGCAGTGTGTATTTGGGACTCAGGGCATGCAATGACTGAATAGTACTAAAAAATAAGAACTAGATGGAATATCCCTAGTGAAATGAAAACAGTCTACTCCTGTAGATTAAATAAAGAGTTCAGTTGGGAATTTGCTGTAGGCTACACAGACTGATATATACCAGAATGCCGAATCATTGTAATAACAAAAGATGAGGACGATAGTCTATATGTAAATAGTAGTTAAGGTTATGATGTATTTCAATTTTATTTTTTTAAATCTTTTAAGTATTTGAAATTTGAATCACCAAAGAAAAAAGTAAAAGAAACAATGTTATTATCTTTAACTGAAACATTTGGCAGAAAAAAATGTTTCTTTTATGTTAAGATAAAAACAGAGCAATCTAATGAATAAAAATAACTAAAAACATGAATATCTACACAACAGCTATAAAATCAATTTTAGTTAATGGTTGGGATAACTGGCCCAATTTATTTATCTAAAATTGATTTTATCTTTTATCCTTTCTTTATTTAAAGGAATTGGACAGAAATTAATTTCAATCCAACCAGATATTTGAAAATACAATGGGCTTACAAGTAGCTGTTCTTAATAAGGTTTTTAATTTTTTTAAATATTATATGTACAACAAAAACACGATTTAATTAATATTTATTGAAAGCATTTGAAATGAAATGCAATACTAATCATTCAGTTAGTTTTAAGCATTTTTTTTTCTTACAAAGTTCAATCCTTTTGCTCCATAAAATTTCATCAATCACAAGTAACTATAAATCCAATGACTACTACTAAAAATGCTTAGTTTGGAAACCAAAACTAAGTAGGTCTTCAACATGTTATTCCATTAGTAGAATACCTACCATTCCTTTTTCCTAAAGAGTTATTAAACAAGGCAGTAGTAAACTTTACTAAGCACAAAAATTTGAGTAAACTTGAATAAAAATTTTCTTCTTACAAACTAAAGACAAACATGAAAACAATTTTCTATTAAAAATATTTTTCAATTTTACCTAAGGAGAGAAAATTTTTTTTTTTTTAATTTGAACTTACGAATTAGTATCTATTTCAAAAACATCATAAAGCCGTACAATCCGGGGATGGTCAAGGCTTTTGTGTATGTTATACTCCCGCAACGCATGCCTAAATAAAAAGAGTGATAGAAAAATAAAAGAAACTCAATTCAGGTATAACACATTTAATTTAGAACAACAAAATGCAAGTAAAACATTTCACCTTCTCAATTCAACTCACAAGTTGTTTGTTCTATTTTGGCTTAATTTCTGCATTATGTAGAAATTAAGCTAAAATAGGCCAACTTGTAACATTCTAATAATGTCTAGTCTCAGCTTAAGGTAATCATTTGATTCTTGTAAGATTTACAATGTTAATATAGCCCCCAAAATATCCTGAGACAAATGATCTTCTACTAAAATAAACCTGAAAATAAGACAAACAAATCTCAAGTATCACCACTTTTTTACTCCTACAAAAGAAACAATACAAAAATCTTGTGAATATAAGGAAGTGATAAAAAGTACTGGGTTGCAATCAAGATTACTTAATGAAACATATATACATGTATAGAAAGTTGAAGAACATTATGACTAAAATCTGATAAAAACAACCAAGACACTCTTTTCAATATTTCATAGAATAAAAAAGCATTTTACCTTAAAATTTCAGATATTGTTTAATAGACATTTAATTTTCAAGTGATTTTATTGCAATTCCTGTACAAGATATATAGGCCAAAATATTTGGTTAAAGTTAATGTTCTTATGTTAGCCTGTAAAATAGTGAATTCTATTTCACAGGCTAAAATGAGGATGCAATCATAGTTATTTGAACAAAAAAGACAAACTAAGACAGAAGTCTATTTTTTCCTTGGAATTCTATGAGACACTTTTTTAACAAAACATTTATAAATAGGATGACTTTCATTTAGCGCTTCACTTATACTTACTTGATATAATTTGCTTTTTTATCATCCTTCCAGTCTTTGTTAAGTTGATGTATTTTACAGGCAACATATCTCTGTTCTTTTAAATCAAATCCCTAGAGAAAGAGAAATAAAAATTATACTTATTAAAATAAAATGTTTCAAAACCAAAGAAAGCAAGTTATTACAAATCAACAGTATAAAAACTGTCAATTTTGTATCTCTCTCCATTATTTTTTATTTATTGGTGTTGTTTTGGTAGCCCCAGGAAAATAACTGGCTGATAACGTTTTATCAATGGGTACACAAAATATTTTGTCATTCTTTCATCAGGTAATCTAATGTTAACAAAATTTCTCATGAATGAAATAAAATTTTCTTAGGAGTTAAATTTATAATGCTTATACAAGAAAAGTACAGTGGAAATTTAAATCTGGTTTAGTTTTTATTCTGAAAAAAAAAAAAAAAGTTTTATAAAGAAAGAATAAAATCTGAGTGATATCAAATTTATACAAAAAGAAAGAAGAAAAACTTGCCCTAAGAAAGGATTAGATGTGGCGGGGGGGGGGGGTTAGATTCCATTGTATTTGAGAAATAAAACAGAAGTCACACTCAGAATTTTATTATTTTAATATAATTTATACTAAAATAATTTGAAATGTTGTTGCATTAACAAACTACATTTTAGCCCACAAATAAAATAATACTTGAGTAACAAATTTATGGTTTATATCATAATTTTTAACATTTTTGCTTTAACAAACTATCTATATAGAGAGGATGATTGCAATTTGTTACTATATATATATATATATATATATATATATATATATATATATATATATAAAAGAAAGGGATGAATTTTTTTATTTATTAATCTGACAGATTTTTATTACTTAAATGTTATTTTTAATGGATATTCATATTTGAGTAAACTCTCCATTTATTAAACAGTATATTATTTATTTTCATCTGAATATTTGAAAAAAATAAGTGCACTCTGGCAGGATTTGAAACAGCATTTCTCTGGGGGAAACCATCATTAGATCTGACATGCCTTGACCTCTTGGCTACAGAGTGCGTCGATGACCAAGCAAAAATGAATAGTGCCTTTAAGCACAGATTTTTCTCCAACTCTTGAAATAGATATATCTGCTCAGTTTCACGTCCTAATGCAAACAAAGCAATTTTTATAGAAAAGGATGGATTTTTTTATTTATTCATCTGACAGATTTTTATTACTTAAATGTTAATGGATAATCATATTTGTGTAGACACTCCATTTATTTATTTTAATTTATTTTTTAAACATTTACTTTCTAAACATTAAATATTCAAAATATCTTACTAGAGAAAAATATATTCACTCTCCAGCAGGGATCAAATCTGCATTCCCATAGGGGAATCCATCATTAGATCTGATGGACCATCTACTCAAATATGATTATCCCCTAAAAATAAAGTTTGAGTTATTGAATTTAAAATTTTCAGCATCCCCTCTCCTTCATGCATATGTGTAGTCACATCAATTAAGTCCTAAAGGATGAAACACAATACAGAAAAACTTTTTCCACTTTACCATACTTTTTTCCCATAAAATTGTTCTTGATCTATAAAATATTATATAAATATATATATATATATATATATATATATATGATAGGATAAAGAACAAGTAGGAAACAGATCTCGATCTAACATGTTTCACTTTATTAAAGCTTCATCAGAAATCAAGAAAGAAATGATAAAAAAAATGGCAAAAAGAAAAGAGATGCAGAGTAATGGTATGTTGTGTTTGGCTATTTCTTATTGGTTAGATAGGTGTCATGTGTAATGAAACAACAGATCATATTCAAATATGTGCAAAGAACATTCTGGATGATAAAGTGTGTAAAAGTTAGTGAGTTGAAGCAGGATAAGTTTTGAAAATAGTTTTGTTTTGGCTTGATTTTTCATTAAAGCATATCTCATGCGTATTTTGCATATATCTTCATTGAATTTTATTTATTCAAAAGATATAAGTTAGATTCATGAACAATGGATCTGTAGAAAAAGGGCAACATAATGTAGTTTTTTTTTAAACATGTTAATAGTTGGTAGTATTTCTATAAATATGTTTTCATAATATTTTCTCTCGAAAAGGTTATGTTCTTTTTTAATAAGGCTGACATTGGTGAAATTAAAGTTATGTCCCACATCATTGAGGTGTAAGATGAAAGAATTTTGAATGTCTATCTAATCACAAGTCTCTTTTGTGTTTCTGAATGCAGGTTTTTAGATCACATGATATGGAAGAGGTTATAGTTGTTCCAATGAGAGAAACTGCAAACGTTTTTGGTTGGAATATGGATTTTTTTTAAATATATAAATGTTTTATAATAGTCCCATTTTGAACAGCAAAATTTGTACAACTAGAAAAGAATTTGGATGTCTCATCATGATATAATGATCCGCAAGCTTAATAGATCATTTGTGGTGAATTTGATCCTCACTAGGTGTCCAATATTTGTATCTATGTGCCAAAACTGAGCTTAGCAAATAACCTAACTTGATGAGATGTGTGTAAACCAAATTACAGAGAATCTAAATAACTTACCTTATGTACTTCACTAAAACCACCTTTTCCTAACAAACACAGCAGCAGATACCGTTCATTCAAGATAGGGTGATCTTTAAATCTGTAAAGAATTCAAACAATATTAGAATCAGGAAAACTATGCAAAGAATTCCATGAAGCAATGAAGTAAGACATTTTAAAATATAAATTTAAGAATAAAAAAGGATCCTCAATGAGCTGATTGGTCATTATTTTCTTTAAATGAAGACAAAAAGTCCTTATTCAGTTTAATCTTTCTTTTAACTGTATCCAACAAGAATAATCATGGTTATGTATTTTGAAATTAACTTCATTTAATCCTGTCATTTTTTTGACTGCTAATTTTTATTTAGAGTTCATTCTTTGCTATTGCCGTAAACTTCTTTAACCCTTTAGTATCCAAACTCGCCCTATAAATATCGGTTCTCAATGTTCAATCTGCCCCATGTATAATCTGCTATAATATATGATGACATCATTGCAAATAACACAGGAAGCCATGCAAAAAGTGAGATTTTGATAGCCAATATTTATAGGGTGGTTTTGAGCATATTGAATTCTAACAAGATATTAGATATGTCTAATATCGCTTTGAAATTCTCAAATTACTATGAAATTTTAGTATAATTATAAGCACAAAAAATAACAAAGTAGATATTTTAACTTTAGCTATGCAGAAAACTTTTAATTTCTAATATCATTATATAAATAACAAAAGCATTGTTTCTACTTAGAAATCAAGTTCTATTAAAAGTTTAAAAAATTTATCTTTTTAAACAGATTTTTTAATCCTACCTAGCAGAATTAGTCAACATTTTCTCATTAACTCCTTCAATAATGGGAAAAAAGAAATCATTTGTCAGATATAGATTCATGTTTGCATCTCATTATGGTTGAATTAATGTAGATTTTATTTCATGTAGTGTATCTATAAATATAAATGTTTACAAGTTGGCATCTTCAGTGACTAAGTTACAAGTATAAATTTTATATTAATTTTAAAGATAATATCTACCATTCTCCAATTTTTGATTTATCTTTCATTTTAATAGATCATATTACATTGATAGTTTTGTTAAATAATCTCTGAATACTTCCTAATTTTAGTTGATCTGGTTCAACAAATTTCATTAAGTTTTTTTAATGAAGTATAAATATCAATTCATTCCCTACAAGAAAGCAAGATATCATTTTTAAATGAGAATTATTTTGCAAAGAATAATTTTGAGAAATTCACAGAATTTGTAACTGAAAATACTCAGCAAGCATTTTTAGTTACAAAGAAATTGCTGAGATGTCAAAAGAGTTATGCATTTATCTTAAATTTTAACTCCTATAAACACGGTAGTTTTTGTTTATACTGCAGATGTGTCTTTTATAGCCATGGTTAAGATTTTGAACATTTTACATATATCATTTATGACAATTTCATAAGAAAAATGTTGGTTCCAATCCATAAAAGAACAACTGCTAAAAACACCCTCTCCCCAAATTTATAGACAAATCCTACAGATGCATGCTGGGATTTCTTTCTAACCAATAAAAATGGACTAATTCTCAGTTTCACCCACCATATTTTTGTTCTTTTTTGTTTTGAAGTCAAAACACTACAATCACTTGACTGTATCCCTTTTACATGTGAACATCATTCTTTGTGAACTTGTTGCTTTGCCTACTTTTGACTTGCATATATATTGTTTGCTTAGTATTATTTTGGTCTGTCTTTTTCTTCCTTTTTTTATTGTCAATGGAAACTTTGTCAATTCTGCTTGTTAAGCATGTTTGCCAATTACACTTAACCATGGCTAATTACCCCACAACAAACATGCTTTAAATTTTTTATCAAACCTGAAGATATCTCATAATAACAATTTAAATATTCAGTTATACTGAAAACTCATGGAAAGTTACCTAGTGTCTTATACAATCACCTCCAGCCAGACAAAATGCAGCAACTCAACATTGTATCAGTTCCACAAATGACTGGAAAACCTCTGGATAGATGATGAGATATGCCATCTCAGTAATTGTTCACATCTCCCTGATATCTATAGGTAGAGGATCTTTTGGGCAAGCAAACCTCTCCACCACACCCCATTAGGCAAATATGGTGACCCCCACTATTCATTAGGAATTTCCATAATGTTCATTAAACCAATTTTTAGGTAACTTGAGCAACCAAGGTCACAGTGCATAATAAGTCATCATTGTTGTGGTACATGGAGTCCATGAATCAGTGTAAATTATTACAAAGCTGTGCAACATAGCAGTTACTATTCAATGACATGTTTAAATGGACCGAACCCACATTATTTGAACATGAAACCACCACCAATTTGCCCAGTACTTTGATGACAACTAGGCTCTATGGCCCCATGGGATTTGTAACAAATTCAAAATCTACCATCAGGCTCAAAACAACTAGAATCATGACTCATTAGTCCCTATCACAACTCCAGGATCTAATTAGTGGCATAAGCTCAGGTGAAGTGCTGTGTACGGTGTCATGGTGTTAACAGGGCCACCCTGGTGGGTATACTGCTCCCATAATCCATGAAAGTTAAATATCACTGAACTGCTAGATATTCATCTGGTACCTTTTGAATTAAACATGGATGTTATTTAAGCCAGTGACTGCAGACAATACTAGCCGGAGGCTTTTGATCATTATCATTAAGGACCCTATTAGATAATCTTAGTACACATGTGACACCATAGATCAAAGGATGCCAAATGTTCCTGCAATTTCAGAAATGGAATATCTCATCTATGTGGCACCCATTACATGCCCTGTTTGAATTCAAGTAATCCATATTCCTCTTGTCATCAGCAGTATAGCTATTGTTCACACAAAACTCACAAAATAACAGAGAACAAATGATATAGGTCAGGGCAATTCTATGATGCCAAAGTGCAATGGCACCATCAACCACTACCTTTTGTTATCCCATGATTTTTGGCATGTCAGTGTATATATTTTTCAAGAAATTATAGAGGTCTAATGCATACACTAGTGACAATATTCCATAATCTTCTGTTTATCCCAAATCAATTACATTATGAAAGAGACTGTATTAGATCTTTTTATGAAACAGTTGAAGAACTTTCTTTTAGTCTTCTATATGCTATACAAAGTGTCTCTTACTTACCTAGAATTATCTTCATTATGTATCCGTTTCAGCTCTCGTATATGTAGATTCCGTTCTCGTTCCAACTTTTCCAACTCTAATTGTAAATCAGCATCCTCTTTTTTTAATGCTGCTTGACGTAATTTTAAGATTTCATCTTGTTCATAATATTCTACCAACGTTAACCTGGATGTCAAAGAGATGTCAAAGTGGTATTAGATTTGATTTTGTTTGTTTTTTTTGTTTACAAAATAATAATAATAATAACAACAACAAAAACATGTACTTTTGATGAGAAATGCTTTCTCACCTGCAGCAGAATGTGCAACTCACATGACTGAATAATTTCAGTCACTGTGCATTTTTATGGGCCAATGCATACGCACAAGTGCAGGTAGATGGGTGTTTTATCTAGTCACCATCTCTAGAATGATTGCCAACCAAGGCTATAGAATTGTCTGTCCTGCTATATAACCCATAGCTATGAAGTGATAGATTCATACCTTACCCAAGGGTATTTACACATATGTGAACTCAGCAGGAATTTGAACTTGGCTCTCAGATTTCTCATCCCGAGTCACTATCCATTACACCATATACACATTCACATGTACTTTTGCTGTCTTTTAAATATTTACAAAAAGAGCTTTAAAAAGAACAGAATAAAAACTTATGCAAATGTTATGACATCTATGAGAGGGTGCTGAAATTTTCTCAATCTAACCTACTTCAAAAAATTTGATCAAATTTTTTTTTTTTTTTTTTGGTGGGGTGGGGGTGTATCTTGGTTGGGCCAAGAATTTTCATCACCTCTTAATATAAATGGCATTTTGTGTGTAGATGTTGGTAATAATATTAAGTATATTTAATGAAATATAGGCTAATTCTTGACTATATCTATTTTCTATGCCATGTTTAATTAACAGAACAAAATTTAAAGGTTAAAGATGAATAAAAATAAAGAAATTTTGAATTTAGAGGATATTTTAACATAAATATCAGTTATCTATATAATAATAAATCAAAGGATATTATTACCTGCAAATTTCTTTTGTGAAAAAGCTTTATCAAAACAAATTTTAGGATAAGGTTTTTTTTGAAGCTTGACTGACTAAATATAGTATAAATTTAGTTTTTGCTTTTTTTCCCTCCCTTTCAATAGAATCTAAGAAATGCAGGTAAAAAATGAAACGTTTTTTTTTTTCATTCATTCTATTTAGCATAAAGAATTTGATGTTCACCCACTTGATGCACTTTTAGTATTTATTGTTGAAATGTTAAAAAAAGTAACAGATACTAATAAAACTTCTGACTTCAGATTTAAAAGCATTTAGTTAAAATGCATAAACAATTCAGAAAGAACAGTTTGAAAGAAAATAAATTAAAATTTAACATACCATTTTTCACCTGGTTTTAGAAAATTTTCATGTTTGGAATTTTTTGCTAACATTGATGAACTTGGTGGTTTTTTCTTGACAAGAAGTTTTCTCTGTTTTTCTATATCTTCCCTTTCTGAAGCTATTTTTTCTTGTTGTCTGTAAACAATGAAAAAACAATATTTTAAAATAAAATCAGCAAAAAGTAAAAATAATTACAGAATTTTATAAAATGTTACAAAAACAATGAAGTCAATACACAAGTAAATATCACAAACAATGATTTCATAGATGAAACATTGAATATATAAAACCTTTGGGAAAATGTAAAAATTTATTTTTTTGTAGAAAATTGAATTCTGTCATCTCTTTTGAAGAAGTTATATATTAGGTTAGCCAGAAAGTCTGAACTTACTGAGGAACTGGAAAGAAAACAACAAATCTTCATCTCTGACTGATGGTACCACAAACTAAAGGAGTATCCTGGTTTGGTCAATTAAAGTCAGGCTTTGTAAGATGATGCAAGGCTGCACACTGCCAGTTTGACTAAGGAGAAGTCCAAACAGATGAATGGTGTTAAGATCTTATCACATCCACCATTCAATCCTGATGCCACTCCTAGTGACTATGGTCTATTCCACTCAATTGCACACTTGCTCTGTGACCAGTGATTCCACACTTTTGATGAAGTGAAGGAAGCTTGTTTACAGTTTTTTATTCAAAGCCAGTGAACTGGTATCTGGGACAGATTCAGATGCTGGCTGATTGCTGGCAGAAGATTGTCAAGAGTGGTAGAATTTATTTTGAAGAATAAAAGTTGGTGTTGTTCCATAAAATTTTTGTTGTTTTCTTTCCACTTCCTAAGTAAGTCACAACTTTCTGGCCAATCTAATAAATTTATATAAAGCATAATAGCTACTTCATGGCATATTTGGATTGTTCAGGTAAGGAAATTTTAATTTATTTTATTTTCCTTTTTTTGCATCAGTTCAACAGCATAATAATTCTAAGTATTTTAGTTTCTTAATCAGATAGAACTATTAAGTTAAATCTAACTTCTACATTTGAAACATATCTTGACCTGTGTACTGTTGTCTTTAAGAAAGTAAAAAAAAATATGTTTTTGGTCTTGATTTCTTGGAGTTGATAAATGTTGTGAGGAGATAAAACTAATTCTAAATGAAGATTTGATCTTTGAGAAATATTAACTTCTAAGATGAATTAAAAATAATAAAATTGTATTTGGTAGCTTAACTGGCAGCATTTAACATTTTAGGATTTTAAGTTGCTGTCTTTTTTTTGTTTGTTTTTTTCTTATAATCATACATTCTACTAATCATTTTTTCAAAATTATGAATGTTTTAAAAACATTGTCTAAATATTTATAGAGGATTTAATCAGAGAATTTATCATAGCTGATATGGTAAAAGCACCACTTGCACAGAAGATCTACAATGACAAAATATATGTGAATACATGAGAGGTTTTTATATAATATCACATAATAAATCACATATATAGAAAAAAGAATCAAATTTTTAAAAATATTTTTCAATAAACAATTATGATTTATAGATTAATATGCATTCATAAAAGAAACTAACTAAAAAAAATGCTACATTTGAGTTACAATTTTTATGAAAAATGAATGCTGATAGGCTAACATTCTGTATGTCATATAGTTTAACAAATATTTGAAAATAATATTATTTTTAAAATACTTAACTTCAGCTTTTTCTAAAAATCATGATAATCATGTTATATTTGATTTTTGTTCTTTGATGTTGAATGATTTGTTTGTTTAACAACATATCAACACCTCTATGGGTCATTTAGCACCAAAATTTAATTTTTGGAGGAGCTCTGAAGTAATAAAAATATGATATGTTATTCTGCTTTCACAATTAAATACATAGTGGATTATACTCAGCTTTTGTGCATCTACATGTTTGTGTGGACATAAGAGATGTGCTTTATGTTGTAGTCTTGTTGCAGTTAAATTTTTGAGTACAGTTTGATGTTTTAATAAATTGTATTATATTATATGTATTGAGGTCATGAAAGAGTTCTTTCATGTGGAAGCCTAAATATTTTAAACACAATTTTATGGCTTCAACCAAATATATTTTAAACATAATTGTATACCTTCAACTACAGATAAAATGTATCGGTGGTCATTTTGCTATATCATTTGTAATTATTGTTGGTAATTCTATAAAATTGTACTGCTAGTCATTTTTACTATAAATAGGTATTGCTGGTAATTTTACCATAAAAATATATTTTTATGCTTTCATAGTGGTTTTATTTTTGCTTTGGGGTTTCACTACTTGCCCATAGCTAGGATCCTAACAGGTGCTACCACTCCCAGGTCAGGTGAACCTGGGAAAAACAGAAATTAAGATGTGGTTTGATATTCCTCAAAACCTCCAATCTCCTGATCAGAGGCCTTGATGCCAGATGTAGTCATCATACCCAGGACTGATGTTGAATGAGTTCCAAATTAAGACAACTATGCTGATGTTTGATCATAAAACCAATCTTGGGATTCCTACTTCCATATATTCTCAGTTTCTTATCAATTTTAAGAAAAAAAAAGAACTGATGTTAGCAAATGTAAAGTATTTTGTTTATTATCTTAATCAAGATTTTGATATTTGATGAATGAAGAATGAATAGGAATATAGTTTTGTTGTCTACTAAATGTATTTTTATAGTTTATTCTTGTTTTAATAATTGCAACATTAATACATGAATCACTTACTTTATTAAGTCTGTGAAAGCCCAACCATCTACCCAATTTTCAACAAATGAAGCCCCTTGTCTTTGCGTCACAAACTGCCCTAGCCGTAAACGATTTTCCATACATTTCTGCCGCGTAGTTTTCTTTTCTAAAAGACTCTGAAAAAGATTTGAAAAAAAAAAATATCCATTAGTCTCAGTGGGTATGTGTGTAAAAGAAAAGTAAAATCATAGTGCAAAGGTGAAATAAAACAACATTTTAATTTTCTTTTAAGGAGGCTCTGTAATGAATAAAGAATGCAGTACTATGAAGGTGATACCTTGAAACTAAAAAAAAATAAAAAATAAGAATTTAGATATGGCTACAACCAGGTCACTTAATATACTTTATTCTTTTTATTTTGAATAAATAACTTAAAATATATACAATAACTATTAATGTAATAATAATTTAAAGTCAAAATATAAAAACTGGCTGAGAAAAGTTGTTGTATTTTATAATTCTGCTTTTATAATTCAGAATATGGCTGGAAGGAAAAAGTAGAACTTAGTTCATGTAAAACTAAGAAAATTGTTTTTAGAAAAGTTTGAAGATAAGAAAAATCATAAACATTATCAGTGAAAGTATCTATGTCTGATGATTAGATCACAAGACCAAATTTTATTAAAAGTTATCCTCAGTTCAGTTTTTGTTTTTATTTGTACAAATATAATCGAATATTAAGAAACTTTAGTTCAACTGACAGAAGCATGACACTTACTAGACATTATGCCCTTTTCAATTAAACCGTTTTATTAAAATAATGGTGCTTAATATTAAAATAAAAAGTTATAGCTAAGTGATACCAATTCATTATGCAGTATCAAATTATTTGATAAACAAGAATTCTCTTTTGTCCTCTGTAAAAAAGACAAAAGAATGGCATAAATTTAAAAATTAAAAATGACAAAAGTTTTATAACATATATGGTTCATATAGTTTAATGGTTAGCAGCTTTATCTTGCTAGATCAATTATGGCTAAGTAGTGAGTTCAATCCTCACTGAGTGTTCCACACTTTCAGCCTTGTGCCAAATATAAGCTACACTTAATAAATTACGATATGGTAATTTATCAAATAAATGAGTCCATTTAAAAAATTGGTGTCAACTAAAAGGAAATATAATTCTAATGTCGAATCTTTTTGAATACCAATGCCATGTTATATTGAATTCTTGGATATTCCCTATGAAAGACGTTATTATTTTAATATATTTTCTGTTTATACGTTATTTTTATAGATACAAATATTTAAGTAAATACTGTTTATAATAAACAGTATTAACAAGGTATTTACTCTGTCTCCCCACTAAGACAAGTTGTGACACAAGGTCTTTTTTAAAGTGGGGACCCAAGCACGTACACCCGGGCCAGGAACAAAAATTGCCCACAGCCCCACCGCAACCATCAGTTGTACTGGCCTCGATGCGAGCTCTGATCTCTCTCTCTCTCTCTCTCTCTCTTGCAATGAGAAGGCACGACCTCAGGCAGCTGTTTCCCAAGGTTTGGGCACCTCTCATTATAATTTTTCTCAGTTGCGACTCTGTACTTTGATGAAATCGCCCCTGAGTGCACTCTGCCCAAAGATAGAGACGCAACTGAGAGATGATGTGTTAGAAACTACTCAAAGGGTAATTTACACACTAAACAGTATTAACTACATTTACCAGAAATTTCATAGAAAATATGTGTCCTCCAACAGGAATCAAACATGTATTCATTTAGCTACAGAGGAAGTATCTGGTTAGCAAAGTCAAATTACTGTTTTTAAACAACAAATTTCCCATGATTTTTCTCGAATGATCAAATCTGTTCGAGGCATATCTTAACATAAACAAATGACAACTTATATTATGAAATGGACTTTGCTAACCAGATGCTTCCTCTGTAGCTAAATGGTATATCATATCAGGTCAAATGACAGTTCCATGTAGGATACATGTTCGATTCCTGTCAGTCAACACATATTTTCTATGAAATTTCTTGGACATTCAGGCCAGTAAATGTAGTTAATATTGTTTATTATAAAGTAGCATTTATTTAGATATTTGTATCTATAAAAATAACATACAAACAGAAAAGATATTAAAATAATTGTTGGAGTTAGTCCATTTCATAATATATGTTGTCAATTATTAAGTATGTATAAAAGCTCCCAATGTCCACTGAATACACAGTAAAAAATAAATAAACTCTGGAAACTTTAACACACACCTGTTATTATTTTGCAAAAAGACCACAGCTTTGATTGTTTCTTGTTTTTTTTTTTTGAAAAATCAATTTCACTATTATTTTCAGCATTTCCATTTTTAAGGCATTTTTCTTTATGGACAAATGTAAGAAATCTATTATCAGGGTTTAATGATTTGTTTTAAAAATTTATCCTTTGTTAAACATTATTAAATGGAAGTATTAAAAAAATTAAGTTGATTTAATTTACACAATCTGTAAGAATTTATATCTCTATTTTCTTTTATTATTCTGTTCACAAAGAGATAAAATGAAAACTGATCAATGCAATGCATGATAAAGTGAATCATCTATAAATAAATATTTTTCACACTAACTGTGATCAATTCCATTGTACACAAAACGTTGTATACCTAAGAGGAAGGGACCCACAAATTTTTCTTCTCTGAGAATAGTTTGTGTTTTAAAAAAAATATAAAATTGGATAAAAATAAACATACAGCATGAATTCAAATTATCTGAAATCAATAAATAAAATGGGATTTTGTGTAAATAAACAGGAAAATATTTTTTATTGTGATTGGACTGTCTCTATACTTGGGTGGCAGCCAGTCAAGAAGAAGGACAACTCTGAATTCAAAACTGTAGTGAATGCAACAAAAAAAGCACTTCACTATGTTTCTCAAAATGTTAAAGCAATTTACAGATAAAAGAAAAGGAATCTACAATCACCTTCATCATAAGTGATATAGCATAAACAAAATGGTAGAAACTCTCCCATTTTTGTATTAAATGAATACTTTTTCTAGTATTTTAAGACATCACGGCCTCATTTAAAGATATTAATTAAATAACAAAAATTGGAGGTTTACTTGCATCAGTCTCACCAATGTTGATAGAAAGAAAGAGGAGAAAAACAAGGATGTGTTTTCTCACCAGATTTATTTAACCTACATAGAAGACGATCTCAAGAGAACTAGAAGACCTACCAGGATTTATTATTGGTGGCTATAATTTAACAATATATGATACACAGATGACATTGTGCTGATGGCAAAATTAGAAGGAAAACGACAAAAGATCTAAGACAAGTTAGCAAAGGAAAGCAAGAAGGACTAACCATTAACTCTAATGGGAGATAATCTAAGACCATCAGCGAGAGAGGCACTCAATGATGTGAGTTTCAAATTGAAGATATCAGACTCAAGCACATATGGAAATTTAACTATATGAATCGTTTAGTAACAGACAACAGAAAATGTAACAACAGATATCTGAACATATGGCAGACTAGCAAAAGTTGCCTTTCAGAAACTAAGAAAAGTATTAAGACATGAGAAAATCTTGTTATAAACAAAGAAAAGAGTGCTGAACTGTTATGTAATATCTATCTTACTGCATATATTGGACAATTTCCTTACAGATGAAGAAGAGACTTGAAGCAATAGAAATGTAGTTCTATAGACAGATGTTGAGAATAATGGATAAAACAATTGAGGAAGGAAGTTCTAGAGAAAATAGGATACTAGAAAGACACTTATACTTAAAATCAGAAAGAGGTAGTTGAAATTTCTGGGACGCATCATGAGGAAAGAGAGCTTAGAAAATTAAGCACTCACAAGAAATACTTAAGGAAGGAGCAACAGAGGAAAATGGTGAGTGACTTACCTAATGAGTTTGGGTGAATGGATTGCAGAGCAAAGATAAAAAGATATGGTAAAGAGACAAGCATTGCTCACAGCAACAAAGAACAGGAAGTTGTGTTGACTGTCCACAACTTGAAGGGATCTGACACATAAAAGAAGATAGATTCTGGTTTGTGTGGGAGTATGCTGGTTTGAGAGATCTGTCCTGATGTTATAAGCTATAAGTATTTTTTTTCTTTCAGTCCAAAAGCCTTAGCTATGAAAATACTTTATTATATAAAAAAAACTAAACATATAAAAATTTAAAATTGTTCCAGCTTAAGGCATGGAAATTATTGTATGCCTGCATTTAAAGCAATAACATTCTCCATCACCAAACCTGATAACATCATTAACTGCTGAAATGTATGCTGCTAATTTTTTTAATCAGTTCCACCATGTTTCATCTTTTTCAATGAATAGGTTTCACAAGTCCTGTAAGTAATACAAAGTGACTGCAGTAACTTGCCAAACCAAGTACTGATCAGATATAAGTAGGCTGTAGTATTAATATTCACTAGATGAGGCCTGTGGTCATACAGGTTGATGATTACTCCAAAGTGTTTTACTGGTTGTTTAAACATAGATGAAAGACACACTAGTTTATGTGATCCAGAACACTGAGACATTGTAGCAGTTTCTTTGAAGTAAAACTAATCAAAATAAAATCATCAAAGTAAGATTCCAGTAAAGTAATTCCAGAAATATCCACCTGCATAATATCAATGACTTATTGGAAAATGGCTGGTGTAGAATTAATACCACATAGTTAGTTGTACTTGTATAGTCCATGATGTGTAGTGATTGTTGAGTTGTTCTTTAATGCTCCAAGTAAGGTAAGCATCAATTTGATCCAACTCTTAAAGCACTGAGTTTAGCAAATATATTTTTGGAAGTGAAAATGTATACTATAAGAATCCAATCCAATGTTGAGACCAGTAAAGAGATCAATATATGATATTGTTGATCTTCTTCACAAGCTTGATCAGCCATATCAAGTCATACACAAGTTGGATGATTCTGGAATTCTGCAGGTACTTTTGTTCTTGTAGAATTACAATAGCAATAGAATTACGTTTTGGTCCGGAAACCCATTTGACATGGGAATACAGAGCGAGTATGGCTTTGGTTTCAGAGCCTTAACTATAGATATATCTTGATGCACAAAAGCCTTCCTCCAAATCAGTCGACCTGTAATTATAACAGAACTTGTTTCTGAGTGGTCAGTATATACAATGCATGAACATGTAGTTGATTGCAAATTTGGTTGAGTGCAAGAACTGATAAATGTAACTTTCTGATCCAGTCAAAACCAAATAGGTTGAGTTTCAAGGAGTTAGACTAACTCAAAAAGGAACTGCACTGGTATTTTAACCAATTGGTTGCTGGATGCTCCTAAAACTGACAAATCTAATAAGGCAACACTATTTGTTTAATGGTTTAAATATATGCCTTTTATTATACACTGGATGTACAATGGAATGAGAACATTCTACTCTCTTTAAATGAAGGGTTCAGTTCAAAATTCCCAGAAAATTACAATAGGCCAAACACTGTAACTATAACAATGAAGATAAAGATATTAATTTGAATAAACCATTATATAATTAGGGTTAGGCTATAGAGATTACATTTTTTTAAAAAAAGTGAAGTGTTTTATTCCACTCATTTGTGTCCAAATAGAAGGAAATTGGTGAACTTTTTGAAAATTGGGATGGGGCCAGACCTGCCCGGGGCCAAAACCATCAATAAAAACAACAACATATTCCAAATAACATCAATATTCACCAAAATGATTCAAATGATGAAATTCATGGTTCTATTTACACAATATTGAGACTACACGTTAATTTCCAAAACGATAGGGTACTTTGGAGCTGAAATAGACCAAATTTCAGGAAAAAAATGGGGACAAAATTAACTATTTTTAATTGAAATCACCAAATACTTCAACATTACATTCTATCGAGACACACTATCAGGCAAAAGTGTCCATATTGGAACATCTCAGGCCATTATAAAAAGCAGGAAGAATGGTCAAGAGGGTTTTTAGTGATTACAACTCACACATGTTTAAAAATGGCATTGTTACTTTGAAAATAAACCATGCCAAACATGTTAAAGTGCATTCAATATATTCCATGTCAAGGTACAATTCACATGCCTGTAGCAGTTGATTATTTGATGGTGTATCTGAAACAATATTCCCTAGATCATCAAAATAGTGAAGCAAGGCAGTAGCACTATATCCAAGACCAAAACAGCTTTCTTTATATAATGCAACCTGTTTCTTTTTACTAGCTTTATTTAATACATCATCAAATTCCTCATAGATTGATGTTTTCTGACCACCAATTGATACAAGTTTACAAAATGCATCAATTACAGCAAGGATTAAACCTTTAGCCAGGAAAGATTTCAAAGATGGAATTGTTTTGATTATTTTTTCCCAGTTCAAATTTACTCTTTACAGAACAGATAAGTTCCCTGTGTCAAACACCTCACAAGTGTGGCTCATACAAAGAAGATGTAGGGGTGTGTGCTGTGACAGGAGGGTTACAGCTACCAAGTTTTCAATCTCCAAATTCTTGGAAACTGAATCTGTCATGAGGGTCATTATTTTACCCAAAATCAGTCTATTTTTGCTTAAAACGTCAAAAATATTTTCCTAATTTCTGTGTAAGCTTTGTAGAAACAACATATAACCATATATTCAATCATTTGAATCAAAATCAGCAAGGTTTGTGGAATATGTGGTCATTTTTAGTGATTTTTTAAGCCCCAGGCAGGTCTGTGTATGTTTCAATCTGGCTCCATCCCAATTTTCAAAAAATTTGGACACAGCTTTGTTTTTGTTTTTTGAAAAATTTGGTCTCTATAGCCCACCCCTAATATAATAATTAAAATTCTTCATCTCAGAAATTCAGACATTTACCCATTTTATGCTTATAGATTTGTACCAAGATGTGCTCAAAAGCTTCCGACTTGACCAAAGAAGTGCCTTATATCTGATGTTTGGAAATTTGGTCAAATTTTGAGAAGTGAATTGGGTCAAGGATTTTCATTATTTTTGTAATAAGTTTATTTCAAAAACCTTTACAAACAAAAGCAAAGGATCATTAAGCTTTTAAAAGCGTTTTAAATGGTGAATTTTAACTCTTACTGGCATAAACAAGACTTTAATTTATTTGATGAAATATAAATTCAATTATAATTATGAATGTCTAAAAGATCATTAAATATGGAATAAAATCCATCAAAGATAATTTCTTATTTTATTCAATGGAAAGTTCTCTTTCCATCTCTTTTTTTTACATATATGCTTAACTGCATTTCTAGATTTCAAGCCATACTAGAAAAAACAAGATACAATATATTTACCAAATGCACTGAGTACACAAAACATACAAAATGTAGATGTAGTTCCATGAAAACAACATTTGACTTTGAAATGAGATTGTTCTGAAAAGACTGAACCTTTTACAACCATAGGAAAGGAAAAATCAATGAATCTGTCTTCTATAAAGGAACAACTCTTTGGTGAATTTCACACTGCTCACGTGGTCACCATTTACAGTTTCTTTTGTAATCAATCAAGATAGAAGAAAAACCAGCTGAAGACATTTTTATCCTACAATCAAAGTGACCTCCTGGCACTGCTAACAAGAAAAAATGGCTCTGAATGCTAATTTTATCTCCATAGGTAGACATTTTTATGAAAAGTGGTATTAACATGATGACTAATATATTTTGTGAGTAATATGGAGTCAGTGTGCAATAAAAGCCTTAAATAAGAGATGTAACCAAAATATTCAACTTGAATAAGAATAGAAATAAAATAGACTGCACAAAGGCACTTTTTCATGAAAAACTACAAGATTAGAAAATTTCTGAATAAAAAGACTAATCACAATTTAAATTACTTAACCTTCTAAAATATTAAAAGGAAAAACCTCAATATTTGGACAATGTAATGCAATGTCTCATTATCTTCTAGATTCACAGATTTTTAGCAATGCTAAAAAGATTTATATCTTTCTTCTTTTTTTATCTTTTATAAACCTACAGATTAAACAGCTACATGAATTATTTCAAGCATCCACACAGAAAAGTTATTAAAATGAAAGCAAACAGTAGAAATACAGTTTTACTTACTTTTTCTATTAAAAGAGATTTATTAACTTCTAAACATTTCTGAAGATTTTCTTTGTGTTTTTCCAATAATTTTTGTTGTGCTGTAAGTTGCCTCCTCAATTCATCATTTTGCTGAAAAAGGAAAAAATAAAGTTATTAAAAAAAATGATACAAATACTAACAAATTGTAAAATATCCATTTCTTAGTCTTTACCTGATCTCAACTGAATCATGCAATCATTATCTGGTTTCAATCACATTCTTAAAAAAAAAAATGAAAAAAAAAATGTTTTTTTTTTTTTTTTTTTTTTTACACAACTAATAATTTTTCTCAACATAGAAAATAGCAACCCCAAATAAATTCAACTTTAAATCTGAATTTTTGAAAAATCTTATAGAAGCCAGTAATGAGTAAATGGTACAATAAGTTGGCTTCTTTAATGTATAATTTTTTTTATTATTATTTTAAAACCATGGCCTATGTCAGTTTTTGATTTGAAATATGTTGTCCTGATTATATTAGACACAAGAATATTATGCAGAGTAAGGAAAGCTTTATTACTTTGAGAAAAAACATTTATAAAATTCAATTATACATGAGATTTAGCAGATTTAAAGTAAAAAAGAAATACAATATTTTTCAATTTCAATTTATTTATACTTTAGTTTTAATTTGGTAATACTTTCTCCAGATAAACTGTTAAGTTCTATTCTTTGGACAATATTTGCTACCCTGCATAAGGATTGAACTTACATCATCTTTATTCTTGAATAATGTACAGTATTTACATTAGTCGGACTATTGTCCTCATCTTTGTCGCCATATTTGTCACAACGTTTCGGCCGTTGTACGCTCCGGCCTTCTTCAGGTGGTTGGAATTTCGAACTGAACCCTTTATTTCGATCACTGGAGTAGACTGTTCTAATTCCACGTGCCATGTTTGATGGATGTCAGTTATCAGTTATCTCCTGCTAATTTTCCCTCTGAAAGTTCTCCACTGCCTTAACCAGGAATTGAACTCACCTTCTTTGGGTCTGTCACTGGATCTAACCAATGCCTTTATCCACTGTGCCATGTGTCCTTGAGGACAAATATGGCGACAAAGATGAGGACAATAGTCCGACTAATGTAAATACTGTACATCTCAGAAATATAGACAAACTCTTGAATAATGATTGTTAAATTATAACGACATTCACTCCTCAGCAATGTTTATTATTTTAAAAAGCAATAATTAAAATTCTAATAAAACCCAAACATATGAAAGTGAATTTATATAAATTTCTTGGAAATGTTTAACTTCTATGCTAGCAAAAATCAGTCAGTCAGTTATGTGCCATGCATGTTACACGCTTAGGAAATCACGTATCTTTTGATATATGACTGATGATGCAAATTTTTTTCTACAGGTTGCCATTTCTTTCTTCAGTAGACCAGTTGCCATCCAAGGCTATAGAACCCGGTCAGTCCTGCTATTTACCCATAGCTGGAAGAGAAGAAGAGGATTCATACCTTTCCTAAGGGTATTAGCACATAAGGGAATGTAATGGATTCGACTGGAATCCAAACTTGGCTCTCTGAATCCAAGCTGCTATCTATTACACCACCATGCCCCTACTAGCAAAAATAGCATGTCAAAAGGATGGTTTTTTCCCTTGACACCACTATTATTTTAACTATCTTTTTTTCAAGTGAAGGAATTTTATACATTTCTTGGCAACATTTTTCTTTTTACTTTTTTTTTATAGAGAATGTCTTTACAGCATAAGGAAAAAAATAGTGCATTCTATCTGATTCAAGCAGAAAAAAATGAAAAATTTACATGTATAAAAGATAACTAATTTAAATTTGATTACAAATTAGTGAATGAATGTTGTTGTTTTGGAAATACATACACACGAACAAGAATAGGGTATGAGTTAAGTTTTTAACAGTCTTTAAATGACAATAGGATTAATATTTATTTAAAAAATTTACAATACTTAATTGCTTATACAAATAATTCAATAATACACTTGTAAATACTTAGAATGGAAGTAGAATTTGTTTTCCAAACACATGAAGACCATAAATAGCACTGCAAATACTAAATTTATGATTTACTGATGTTTGCAAAAAGATATTTCTCCTAAAATCTGTTGACTAAAATGAAAGTCTCTCATCAGGTAAATAGTGACTCTAATTGTACTGAATTTAAGAAGTTTTGTAACATTTCTTCACCCACTCTCATTTTATTTTAAACTTGATACCACCATAGCTTTTTGATGTTTGATGATTTATTAATAAAAATGAAAGAAAAAAAAGAATTTGTTGGTTCATTTAAAACAAATTCATTATAGTTGAAGATAGTTATGTACATTTGTGTAACTCAACAAAAAATAGTAATAGAAAACTAGCATTATAATAAAAATTTACTATTCTCTTGTTTTATACATTTATAGAAAGACTTAATGGTTGAAAAAACACTGACATAAAGCATGGTAAAGCACTAATTAGTATAAGACAAGAAAGAGATATATCTAGACATAGACAATGGAATAAGAAATTCCCTGAATGTTACCTGAATTGCCAGATACCTGAAGAAGACCAGAGGGCACAATGGTTGAAACATTGTGATAATAACAACAAAGATAAGGATATTAATCTGAATGTAAATAACTTTTAGATTTTTCAAGAGGAAACCTGCTATCAGAAAATAATAACCAGGTCAAAAGCACAAATGGTAATGAGGCTCCTCACTGTATGTAATCACAGAGAAAAGAACTCCCTTTTCCTTTTTTTGCACTGATCTCTCATTTTTAGCCTGCTTTGAACTCTCATTGATCTGCAAACTAAACACAACCAAAATACTAATTCACCTGGCTATATATTATCTGCACTAAAAAATATTCTTTACTAATTTATCTTAAGCTATAACTATATTACCTGGGCATTTTACAGGTATAGCTTTTTAATAATCTTGAGATTACAAGCAAGAAAATATACAGTTCCATTTTCCTTGTTATTACAGAGTTATCTAAAAGAATGAAATTTTGATTTCTTACTAAAGTTAAAAATATATATATACCAAAAGTCGTGGTAGAAAACTAAATAAAATATATTGCTTGTGACTTGAAGTTATTAACATATTGTTTGAACAAAGCTGAGTGAGCAATCTATCTAAGTAAAAGTCATCTTGGAGCTTTCTACATAAATGATTATTTATTTTTACAAGTTTCTTTTCAGATCAGAAATGTTTTAAGTAGTATAAAATAGATTTTATGCACAATTTTTTTAAAGTTATTTACACTTCAATTAATCACTAAAAAAAGATTAGAATTAATTATTCCCTTAGTAATAACATGTACTTTCTATGCCAAATAGAAACAATTTAAATTTTTAAAAATTATGCCAGTCTAATTGATGATTTGCTGATGTAAATAAAAAAAATCAAATAGACTGTCATAAATCAAATAAAAAAATCTTTATATGTATTAAAAATGTAAAAAATATCTTTTAACATAGATTTATTTCAAGCATAATTTATTCATATTAAAATGATTAAAAAATTATAAAAATAATAACTGAAAGTATTTAAACTGTCATTATTCAATACCTGAAGAAGACTGAAAAGAACAAAAAAGGATGTTGGTACTATAAGGTCACCTCCAATAACAAGCTCTAAGAAATGAGATGCATAAACACTATTTAGAATTATCATGTGCTTGTATACTACTGAGAATAATAAAATCAAAAGTCAGATGGAATAAAACCTCAAAGTTATATAATTTAAAATAAATGGATCATAAAATTAATATACCCCTTCTTTGTAAAATATGGTTTTAGTTATGGAGATAAGAATTTTATAGATGTGGTGATAAATATTTATAATTGGTTTCCAAAAATAATTTAAAATGTGTTTTAATATTATGTATCTTAATTAATCTCCTTTTTGAAAATTAATAAATTTTGAATGTTACTTCTCCCTTCTTAAAGCATTTATTGTTGTTCAATTTTTTTTTTTTTTTCGAGCTTATCACCTGCTTTGTTACTTGACTTCTTTTATTGCAACTAACTTGCATTATGTTTTCAATAGACAACCAAAACTAAAAAAGTAGTTCAGTATCCTTTGCATGCTGATAAATATAACATTTATTTTTCATTATTTTCGAGAGGCCATCTTTTGTTCCATCTCACATTTCTTTTTTCGAGGTTGAAGATTTTTCAAAAAAAAAAAAAAAAAACAAAAAAAAGAAACAAAACAAAGAACTTATAAAATCCATTTGAGCCGATTTTTTTAACAAAGTATAATTAATGACTGATTATTTATTATATGCCGATTTAATATTATTTAAACAAAGAATGTTCAAATATGCTCCACAAATAAATTTATTATGACTTACGTTATGAAAAAATCGTGCACTGTTTTAAAGATAACTAATGGAATGCAGTTGAGATTTTTTTCTTTTATTGTTGTTTTTAATATGCATTTTTTTTTTTAAATTACAAAAAAAAAATAAAAAAATAAATTAGAAATAGTTTCTGTTTACTCCTATGATGAATAAAAAAATCGTAATGTACATTTCGGGAAATACTAACATTTAAAAATATTTTTTTTTAAAGGACACAACAGACATGTTACGCCGTAACGGGTTTTAAATATCGAAACAATGAAATAAAAGAAAGATAGTTTAGTCATCAAAAATATATGTTTTATTTAATTTATTTATCAACCTTGATAAAGTAATTCTTATAATCATTTCAAGAGACTAGTCAACTCAAAATTATTATTTAATTTTGTACAATAGTATAGATAAAAATCAAATAGGTGTTCCTCTGTTGTTATTATAGTACAGGAAGTTATGTGCAAAAATTATCTCCCCTTCCATTAAGAGAGGATGGGGGTTGCAAACAGCTGAGCTGACCGATTTATTTATGTCAACAAAAGAAAAACGGATGAAAACTCATTTTGCCAATCCTGTTAAATAGTACATTATTCTTTGAAACAATCAATACCTCCCAATTTACAATGAATTAATAAAAATGTATTAAAAATATACAAATACATATATAAAGCACATTTTCTATTTAATAATGGTGGATACTAACTATAAAGTGGGTAGTATCCTTAAATATTTTTAAACATGTCACA